AACCATTTTTGTGAAGACTTTAAAAAGGGGTGCGTGTCGATTAAATTATTGGGACGTCTTATTTATGCATTTATTAATATTTGAAACAAACCAAAAAGTGGAGGACATGGTGAAAAGAGGAAGGTCAATGGATCATAATGCCTTTAGAGCATGTTAGACTAGCACTAAGTCTATTTTAAAAGAAACAAAAATAGAAAGGGAATGAATGAAGTGCGAGTTATTAAAACTAATAAGCCCAATCAAAAATTTATCTCGAATCAAGCTCCTATATTTCTAACCGATTTATATCGTTCAAATCCAAATCATCATTACATATCTTACTCATACCTTTATTTTGTCAAAAACAACTAACCTCTTAGTTAAAATCCTCATGTAAACCCTAATTTGTCACAAATAGTGAGAAAAAACAGAGATTTAAAAGATATTATCCTAATGCTAAAGGTGAATTCCATATGGGAGAAAGGGGCATACTACAAAATATTATCTCAAGCTAAAGCACTTGGCTCAAAACCTTATAGCTAGTGGGGTCTTGCAATCCATAAGCTAGAAAGAAATCGAGTCAAGTATTCCATATAATCCATACCTAAAAATACAAATAAAAAAGTGAATATTTTGGAGGAAAGAGTAAAAAGGGAAATGAATGCTCTTCAATAGTTGATCATAATTAATGTTCCTATGTTAGAAATTCAAATCTTAGTGGCAAATTCCTAAAAATGCAATCAGGATAGTGCCCTTCATATCACTGTACCTTTAGGATGAAATCTCGATTTAAAATTTGTTCTTTAGAGCTATGCAAAAGAATATGGGAACGAGCACATTGGCAACATGGTTATTCAAGGAGGCATGAAAAAAAAAACAAAGTGATTATAGAAAACAGAAAGAAAGTAGTTAAGGAGCTTGGTCACTGAGAAAGAAATTGAAGATCATTTGAAAATTGTCAAAGAGAATGAATGCAATAATGTGAGGCGGTTCAATAAATTCTTTGTCAAGGTTTTCATCCTACACTTATTGTTAAACTCCAAAATATGGAAACCCTTCTAGAGGTGTTAAATGAGCCTTATATACCACTAAACACAGAGATGAATCAATTTAAAAATGTCGTATGAACTATTCTAGCACTAAAATTTTTTATCTTTCAAAAGAAAGCATGGATCACAGTAATCCCTTACACATTACTGTCAAGTCTGGTTGGAACAAGGTTTTAAAGTGCTTATTGATAATGGATCATCAGTGAATGCTTACTAAGTGTCAACTCTAGAAAGTTTAAAGATAGATGTATGATGGTGCCATGATACACATGATTACAAAAGCATTTGATGGAACCAACAGGCCATTAAAGAAAAAATATGGATACCATGTGTATGAGGTCATGTGTTTTCCATGTTTAGTTTCAAGCATTGGACATTTATCTTCATACAATATGTTATTGAGACGATCTTGGATCCGTGCAGCTAATGCGGTGCCATTTACACCAACATGTCAAATTCATAGTAGATGGAAAGGTGATCAAGGTGAATTTAGAAAACATGATGATGCTGCATAAGCCTTTTATAGTTTTGTATATTAAATGCAAAAAAGAAGCAAAAGAGAACAATATTTGTTCTTTTGAGGTTATTATAGTTGAAAGTGTGCTAGAAGGGTCAATCATACCCTAAATTGGTCCTTCTTGAGCAATTAGAAATGATGACCAAATGTATGTTAAGTCATCATTTCTAATTAGGTAAAAAGACTAAGGGCATGCTATAATGGCAAGTTAATATTTTAGATTTTCGCCCCAAAAAAAAAGGAATTACTTGAATTGGGATATTTCTGACCTTTAAAGATTTATTTAAATCCTAAAGAGAAAAAAAATCGTAAAACATAGATGAGACCAATAAATGAAGATGATTCTCCATGAATTTTTTCCCCTATTAAGGAAATATTCCTCACTTAACTGAGATATTAAGGCGAAACAAAGATGCTATGGATAATCTTTCTCAACTCTTCTTAAGTGAGCTAATTATTAATGCAATCTTGAATAGTGATGAAAACTCCATTGTAACATAAGTAAAAAGTTTAATGATTTCAATACTCTCTACTAAAAAGAACATATTGTGGTTTTATATCCGTGGCTCATTTCTCGCGTGAACCACTTAAATACATTTTTGATAAGCCTTCTCCCTTTGACGAATAACATGGTGGCACATGCTTTTATCTAAGTATGACATTATGTACACGATTCAAAAAATGGTGAAAGGATAGGATATAGCAAACTATTTAGTTGAGAACTCAATTGATGACTTTGAGCCATAAAATTTGATTTCCTAAATAAGGACATGGTCATGATTGATAAAAAAAAAAAGAAATGAAAGAGAAAATTTGAGAATGTTTTTCAATCACACTGTGAATTTGATAAGGAATGATATTACAGTAGTTTTTATCTCTCCTTCAACTGTTTAATTTCCAATAGTCATTAACTTTGTTTTTTAATACATAAATAATATCATCGAGTATTAAGCTTGCATCGTTGTATTACTACAACTCTTAACCAGAAAGTATAAGATTTAAAAGTATTTAGGGATTTTTCACTAATTATCTGTCAAATTATTGATAAGTAGAAACATAAAGTCCCTAAACTATTTCGTCATCATTATTACTTGGAATAGTTGAGCTAAAAATTTTGATTCATCTCTTTAATTTATATACCATAAATAAAGAATCAACTCACAAATATCTTAGCAACTTTAGCCTCGATGATACATTTAGTGCTAGATGATTCCATATAACCTTTTGATGATAAAAACACAAAACTATTTGGCTTGGTATATAGAGATCAAATGAGAGATCGATAAAAAATCTTGGTACTCTGGCATTAAATGTCCATATGAAGTTGCTAATACCGATATAATGCTTCTGAAAATTTAGAGAAAATGATTCAAAGACTGTTTATAGGTTACTATTTCATTGGAAAAGTACTTAAAAAGGCATATGAACATGACACTCTTGCATTGTGCTATTTATGTGGATGACTGTTTGCCACATGGGCATGATACTAATGGGTTGAAATTAGAGTTCAATTTGAATCAATTTTAAAAGTTTAAAGGTACATATCAGTCGAAAAATATATAGTAACAAATATAAATGATTTGGATAATATAGAGACTTGTCAATTATTTATTTCGTAAAATTAAATTTTGTGTTAAAGTTAATATAATTTGTTTTTATTGAAAGTCAAATTTAGTTTAATTATGTTTTTATATAATTTTAGTTTAAAGTAATATTTTTGTGGAATTGGTTAAATTTAATAATGTTTTGTAGTTTACTTTTAAAAAAGAAAAAATATTTTTGGACTAATTTTATAAAAAATAATTAAAAATCATTAAAATATATTTTTAATAAAATTAATCAATAAAAATAAAAATATAAAATTTTCGTTTTTTTAATTTCTAAGTTTTTATTCTATGAATTTAGAAAAAGAAAACTTCAGGAGAAAAGAAAAAGAAGCAATCCTCATCTTCCATTTTCCAAGCTTGCTTAATTTTGTTCCCAAACATGTATCAACTGCATGTTTTCCTCTTTCACTTCCTTCGCATACAAACTTCCTGTTAAACATCGTGTTGACTAAAGTGAAATAGGCAGCAATGTGCATCGCAGTATTTTTGTGGCAATCTCACCGGATTTATCCATTCATTCTACTTCTCAACAGAGATGAGTATCTCAGCAGGTGAGAACAGCGTAACCCAGTCTTTGTTTTTCTCATTCTGATCCAGGTTTTAATCCTTTGTTGTTCAATTTTCAATCACAATAAATTAAGAATTTCGTTGTTGTTTTTCCTTTTTTTTTTCTCCTTCTATCTTTTAAGGCCTACGAAGCCATTGGCTTGGTGGGAAGATGGAGAGATTGTTGGTGGCAGAGACACGGTTGCAGGCGGTACCTGGTTGGCCTGCACAAAACATGGTCGATTGGCTTTTCTCACTAATTTTAGGGAGCTTCGATGCATCCCTGATGCTAAGAGCAGAGGAGATCTCCCTGTTCGTTTCTTGCATGTCTGTTTGCCTCTCATCTTCTATTCCAGTTTATCTTTACGCAAATGCCTGACCTTTGCTTTTGCTTACTGGGATTCTTTTCCTTGTACTGTTTCATTTATCAAAATTTTAAATGATTTGGTTTTTACTTGCATCTTCTATCGTTTTTTTTAGTATTTCATACCATATTGTGAACTTTCTTCTTTGCATGTCTTCTCTGTTTTTTTTCTTTTTCAATTATGCTGTCTTGAATAAGCATTAGCATTATGAGTTCATTCTTTCTTTAGCATAGGTGAAGTTGTTGGTGTGGACCACTATTCTAAATCAGTTAAACACCAACTAGCTGTTGCAAATTCATAGGCCTAACCGAGTTTTGTCTCCTGACATTTGTGTGAAGTGCCATAGACAAGGAGAGACACAATCATCTTTTCCTCCATTATGAGATAGCAGGAAGTCAGGGATTTGGTTATTTGACACATTTAACCTATCATGGATTACTCCCTTGAAATGTTCCAACAACTCCAAAATCGGTAGTCTAGGGGCAAGGGAGAAGGCAAGACCTCTGTGCCAAGCAGTGTTGTTTGCAGGTCTATGGACAATTTGGTTCAAAAGAAATAATTGAATATTTGACAATTGTTCTTTTCCAGACAAAATTCTATGAAAAAAGGCGACCTTTCTGGCTTTTCTATGGACCAAAACTCATGGGAATACTCTGACATTTCCCTAAGTGTCCTCCATAGGAATTGTGGATGCAGTGGTAACGTGACCAATTGTCATTTCTGTGTTCTTTGCTTTATTACTTTAATTTGTTCTCCTTTTTACTTTTGTTCAGCTGGATATCTTATGTGCTGTATGTTTTGTAATGTTCACTTCTCTTTCTCAATAATACCCCTATATTTCGAAAAAATTGATTCTTCAGATTCATCAGAAAGTGTTAATGCTTTCTGATTTGACGCCTTCATACCCTCCTGAACCTTAATTCCTATATTGATTTGAGTTTGAGTTTGATCTGATTCCGATTCAATCGAATCAATAAATGCATTTTATGATGTGAGAGGCAATAAGCTACCCAGTAAGTTACCTGAAGAGACATAATAAGGGGCATAAACCATCAGGTAAACTTTTACTTCCTACTGTGCAGTTGCCTAATCTTGCACATTCTAGGTGGAAGCTTAAAGAGAAATGAGCTGTTCTTTTTTTTTTTAACTTGGAAAAGTAAGCTGTATGATATTGTTCAATGATTAAGGTCCATGTTACACCTAAAGTCTTTCTCATCAAGAGGCAGATACTCTTTCCTTTGTAACAAATAATAAATGCCTATGCACAATATTCCAGAACTATTACCAAAAATGTAAGAGACTTTACCTTTAACCTATGCCTCACCATAACCTTTGGTTTATATGATCTTTTTCCTCAATCAATCCGATATTTCCTCTCAGCTAATAAATGTACAGCATCCTTGGTTCCACAGACTGACTTAACTCTCCATTATTGACAAATTCCAACTTTTGTTTCCAAACATATCAAGTAGCTAAGTTAAATGAGAAACTAGGTGAGCATATAGCTGACAGGTCTACTCAACATAACGTTAATCCTTCTGTTGTTCCAGTTCTATTGACTCCTAATTAGAATGATTTGTTGGAAGGTACTTGTGATTAGTAGAGCCATCAATGAGGTCATTCATTATCCAGGATAGGTTTCCAATGCCCTCGCTTTAGGAATTTTTTTATGAGTTTGTTGATTTAAATGAGATTTTCAAAATATATCTTCATCATGTGATGAGTGTTAGACTAGCTGATAAGTGGTGAATTGCTGTAAAATTGTAAGGTGAATTATTTAACAGTTGGTTATATCATCTAGTTTTTTCAATGCTTATATGATCAATGACCCATATCATGTATTATTTGATTGGTAATTTCCATGTTTATCTCTAAGCATTCTTGGAGCAAGCATAAAATCATTTGAAACAGATTTTCAATGATCTTGGAAAGGCCAAAATTATTACCAGTCCTAGATAATGTTCCTTTCTTCAGTGTCACATGCTATTCTTTCATTAATTTGGTAAACCTCCTCTTGAGAAGGATCCAAATGAGTTGTCTGACAGTTCTTATGGTTACTGAAGAGTATATGCTAGTAAAGATAGGCCTCTCTTATAGTATTCTTGTCATGGGTTGTGTAAGCTTACTGGAGGGGCATATTTAACTTTTCATAAGAAAGTTTGCATTGCAGTGAACTACCTTTTCAATATAAATGTTGATTCCAAGCTAGCAACCTTATTTCATATTCAGACTGCTTAACCTTGAGGTACTTATCTTTCCTACGAAAATTTGCATCATATTCATGATAAGTGGGTCAACTTATCTGGTAACTATCCTTTTTCTCTCTGAGTTCTCTTGACGAGGTTAATGATGCATCTAATAGGATAGCAAATTGTAGCTTAGGGCTTTTGTTTTGGTACAATCTTGGGTTAAAACAGGGTAATTCTGTATTAATTTTTGTCGCTGTTGAGTTTTCTTATAACAGTAATTTTATTCAGCCAATGGAGACATGTCCTTTCACTTTTCTTCATGGATAAGACCACATTTACCTATCGAGTTGATAACTCTAACCCAACCATGTTTGTTGCTCAATATTATTTCTAATTTGCATAATGATATTAATGCTAGATTACAATTAGTAATGGAGATTATAAGTTTATTTATCTAGTGCATTGTTTGGCTTGGAGTTTATTGTTGGTGATTATGTCATGATTTGCACTAAGGTAACTGTTATTTTCTTTAGAAATAAAAGATGACTGTTGTTTCAAAAAGAAAGGTAACTGTTATTTTCTCCTTGTTAAGAATTTACATCCTCAAGATATAGCATCTTCCATTTTGAGATAACTCGGACCTAGCAGTTATTTCATTGATTTATATAAGTCGACTTTTCATTATAGAGTACTTATTTCCTAATGGAAGCAGCTTTCGGCTTCTTTTTTCTTTTATTTTCCACTTATTAGTGCTTCTGTAAGAAATTCAGGTTTCTATTACTCCAGCATTGCCATCATCCCAACGGACATTATTGGAGGTATTGTTTTCTCTCTATCGATAGAGGTTTCTATCGATTTCTTGGGAGATGGAAGGAAGAGTCATCCATATTCAGGCACTCTATGGAAAAGTAATGAGTGACTCAATTGTGATAGATTCACACATATTGATAACTATTATGTGGGTTTCCTCGTTGGAATCAAGTTCTTTTTGTGGATGGGAAAATGATGCAAGACCGTCTAGTAATTTTCACTAATAACAGATTGCTTATTGTTATTATATTTAGCAGGACTTTTATGTTTTTAGGTTTTATTTCTAATTTGTTCATTAGTCATATTTTGTTAGCATTTCTTTTCCAAACAAATTCTGCTTATGGGTTAGAACTATTAATTTCTTATTGAGTGGAGTGCCTGACAACTCTGCGAGCCTGGTTGTTGCTAATGCCTGTGATTACAGATTTATTGTTCTTTTATTTAATTTTTCCTATCATTCTAAATTCTGTTGTGCTCTGCTATGCCCTTTGTGCTTGAGGACAAGCACTTACTGGAGAGAGGGAATGAAGTTGTGAGTCAGCAGAAGATTAGAGCTGGTCATGGGACACATGGCCAGAAAAGAGGAGGGGATGAACAATTGGAATGTTTTAAAAATTCTGGTTCAGTTTGGTCATTACTTAGATTTGTTAGGATTGGTTTTATGTAATAAAACAGTTAACTGTAACTTTGTTGTGATGGATTTCTATGTAACAATCCACTAGGCAGTTAGGATAAGGTTGAAGGTAGTTGCTGTAGAGGTACGAGGCAGTTCTGTTTAGAGTGTACTGGTACTTAGGAGCATGTCTAGGTTTGGCATAAAGACTAGAAAAGATATTGACTAAGTTTTATGAAGATAAGTTTGAGAAACGTTTTACTCTTTATATCCAATAGTTCTCTTTAGTGAGCCGTTAAATCATTATTTACAATAGCTGAAAAGGGAAAAGATAAAAACCTATGAGAACATCAGTTTAAAATTTTTTCTTTGGAGAGATTTATAACGAGATTCCAATCCCAAGGCTGAAAACTTCTTAATAAAGAGAGAGAGTGCAATGTGCCAATAAATCTTATATAAAAAGTTGAG